ATTGAGTCCAAAAAGAAAATGAAATAGTCAGTTGGCGGCTCATACTGCTGAAGCATAGATATATGCGAAGATGTCCGACTGCAAAGTAGACACGTGGCGCTAAAAAAACTCTAGCGGCATGTTTGGTACTTACGAACCTGTCAATAATCTATTGACGTCTCTCTATGCTTATTATCTATGCCTCTTTGATAAAGATTAGAATCATTTTAAATGTGAGAATGATTTTAACGAAATTTATATTAATTATTAATTAAAAAAGAAAATTAATTAATTACACAAAAATACACTACACTATTGCACAGTATTAAATAAGCTATTAACTAGTGGTGTATGGCATCGTGCCTTAAGCAAATTGCTAGAACTGCCCGTTCCGTAATAAAATATTCGAAGAATATTAAATGTTTTTAAGTAGATTATTATAAATACTGTAACATTGTCTAATATTTATAAGAGTTATATAAACTGAATTGCAAAGTTGAAATTATTTATTTCAAGTATGTAAGTGAGTTTTAGAACTTTAACGAGAATTAAAATTAAAATATGGAATATTTTCGATATACAAAAAAAAATTGAAACTATTTTTTTCCAAAAGCAATTATTTTGTCAAAACAAGCTGAAAGTTTTTTGAATCATTCAAATCGGATACTCCGTTCTCTCAAAAACTCGATATCTATTTTCTGCACCCTTTTCTCCGTATCTCCGAAACGGCTTGACCTGCCCTTGCCAAAAACTAATCAGCACATCTCCCTATCAATAGGAATGGAATGTTTTTTGAACCATTCAAATCGGTTGATCCTAGGTTAGGTTTTCAATCTGACAACCTGAGAAAACCGCCTGACTGCAGAGCAACTACATTGCTTTAGTCAATATTTAGAACGAGTTTGTATCCTTGCCATAACATTGGTCTGTTATGCAGAGGAATCGGTCCCTTAGCCTCATACAAAATTAGCAAGTCGGATTTTCTGACAAAAACACAAACTTCTTGGAGAAGTTTAAAATATTCTATTAAAATAAGTATAGATTCAATTTATACAATTTTGTAACAACTCAAGTTCACTTTAAAATTCTCAACTCTATGAGGTGCCCTAACATCTGTTAATATACAATTTATTTAACATTCTAAATCAATTAAAAATAAAACACATACCTTCAATTTTTAATAAATAGGTATTATATTAATTACAATTAATTCTTAAGAAGTTAGAACAAAGGTGGCATTCACTGCTGAACTGGATGCACTCGAGGATCAATTATTTTACATGCAGTGCAAAAAGCCAATTTATTAATTTTCAATGTCGTTTACTGTTATATCAAAAAGTTATTTACTGAAAATCAATTGGTTTTAAATAACACTTTGTACTGCACATGAAAACAAATGCCCTTTCAGAATATTGTTAATTGTTATCAGCCGATCAATACAACCAGAGATTTTCTGGCCCAACAACTAGTTTTAAAAAATATATATGTGTACATTTTTCTCAATGAAATAAAATATTTTAAATTTAATGTTCATAGAATTTCAAGGATAAAAGAAATAGCATAAACTAATTAATTTACAAATATTAATCTAAAATCAAAGTTTTTGAATGTCGTATAAAACTGCACACATACATATTTAATAAAACAAAGACCTTGCATCACGTACATTTTATAAAATAAAAAATACAAGTTAAAAATTCGAACACATTTCTCAGCGCACGATGAGGTAAATCACGACATACAAATTATATATGTTTATTTTATATACATGTTCAATTTATATGCATTCTCGAATAAAATTATCCCACTACTATTCTATATGCGAATTTGCGCTTTTCTTTAGTGAGTTGTATGTACAATTTTTTTTCTCAGAATAAATTGGTAGATCGACCGTCAATTAATTGTTTTTCATAATCAATTTGGACCACCAAATAAAAAAGAAATTTAATCGCGTGCATTCCTAGCACATCCATAAGTATTCATAATTTATCATATTTTTTCAGTTTTTTTTTTAACTATAATAACCTATCATTTAACTTTTTTTGCAATTGCATTTATGTTTTAGTCTTTTATTTTTTTAGGTTTTTTTGTGTAATATTGCATTAGATCACAAAAGTCTTATATTTAGTTATCACTATTTTATTCATTAAATTTGCATTGTGTCTTAGAAATGTATGTATAATATATATATATATATATATATATATATATATATAAACTTTCAAGTATATATATATATATATATATATATATAAACTTTTATATATATATATATATATATATATATAAATATTTTCTTAAATGCAGGTACCATGAAGGCATATAAAACTCAAAGTCATATATGTATGTATATATGCATAACCTATAGATATATATTAAAATTAGTTAAAGAAACAATTTTAGTTTTTTTTTTAATATATATATATATATATATATATATATATATATATTTATGATTCTGTTTGTTTCGACGTTGATATGTATGTGACATTATTTTTTTGGCCAAAGCGTCAATCAAAAAATATAATATAATAAAATAATGACTCTATTGAACTAGTTTCGACACTAGGTTTGTGTCATCTTAAGCAAAATCTGTAAATGTTTATATAAAATATTAGAATACAATAAATGTAACATGAATACATTTTTTTTTAAATAAAAAACTTTCCAGATTCTGTTTTCAATTATAAAAATATTTAAATATTATATTAGATTTAAATTTAATTATTTTCTTGTTTATTTAGATTTTTTTTAAATCTAGTAGTAACAAATTGTAAAATAAAAATTCTCAAAATTTGTAAGAATCAGAATTCTATTGGCCAAAAAAATAATGTAATATATATATATATATATATATATATATATATATATATAATATACATACATGTACACATATATATATATATATATATATATATATATATATATATATATATATATATACATACATGTACACATATCTTGATTGTTCCAAGGTTGAGTTTAATTAATTTCCAATTCTTTACAACATCATCCTGTAAAACGATATTTTTTTTTTTCAGAGATAAATTTATTAAAAATAAACTTAGAAACATAACTACTATTTTAAAATCAAAACTGACAAAATAAATATCCTGAATATTTTGATGAAAAATTATTTTAAAATAGTAGTTATGTTTCTGTGTTATTTATTATTTAACAAATAAATAATAATATCTATCAAAAAAAACAATATCATTTCAAAGTGTGTGTTTTCTTGATTTTGGTTTGTATATTTACATATGTAAAAATTTAAAAATCAATTATTCATATCTTTTAATTTTATTCATTTTTTGTAATTTAGATTCACCGAGTGATGACACATATTAGATGTCGATATGTATAAATAACCTAGTGAAAATTAATTACCATTTTTAAGTCGACGAATTGGCTTCTAATTATATATATATATATATATATATATATATTACAATATTATTTCTGTTTTTAAAGCTTTCATAAACCGCATCAATAGTAAAACATTACAAAATTATTTTAACCAGATTTATAACAAAAATATGCAATAAAATTATAATTGCTGCCCTTTCTTTCTAAAATCTTCTAATGTACAACAAAGGCGACCATAAGTCTGTTTGTCCTGTTTGGCGTACCCTAAGGCCCAGGAAAGTCCTGATTCCCACATTACAAAGAAATGTTTTTGTTCTGAATTTTACAATTACAAAATTATTTTAACCAGATTTATAATAAAAATATGCAACGAATAAAATTATAGTTAATGCCCTTTCTTTCAAAAATTTTCTAATGTACAAATGTGATCATAAGTTTGTTTGTCCAGGATAGGCCTAGATTGCTCAGGGCGTACCCTATAGCACAAGATAGTCTTGGTTTCTACATTACATAGACATAGAAATGTTTGTCCTGAATTTTTGTACAGGTTGCTAGCTTCAATAGTTATTTTAGATATTTTATAACTAATTATTTTTACAAAATTTGAACAAAAAGAATATAATTATGAGAAAAATTGTATAATGTATAATTGTATAATATGCATAATGCTTAAAACCCTTAAAAAAAAAATCCTAAAAAATATCCATAAGAACGATATAAACAGTTTTAAACATCATTTGCTATGTAAAATTTTCATTGAAAACAATTTTAACTAATTATAATAAATAATTTTAAAAAATCAATTGAAAAATCAAAAGAAGAATGATAAAATAAATTGAACATAATTTTATAAGTTTATAAAAATAAAGTTCTTACTAAAAGTCTGTAAATCTGAATAACAAAAAAAATATTTAAAACAAATTGATTTTGATTGCATTCTTAAATAGTATTTTTTTTCGAAAAATTTAAGTTTTTTGGCATATAACCCCCCCCCCATAAATTAAAATTACTGTTCCAGTTTTGACTTAAAAAAAATTGGTCACCTTAATTATATATAATATCCAGTTGGTCAATGAAATGTTGTGAACGATTTTAATTCAAAAAACAGAGAAAAAAAATCTATGAGCAGTTAAATACAGAAATAATACATCATATTTAATTATTTATCTATGTGTGTATATATATGCATATATATATATATATATATATATATATATATATATATATATTTCAGATCTGGTGTTCGACATCGAAAGATTCCTAAAATATTAGCCTCCAATTGGTACCCGCAATGATTTTAAATATATATGTTCATATATACTGGTAAGACACAAATGCATAAATGAATCTGTACATTATATACAAATGTTTAAGCATGTTTCCTCATAATCATACACATTAGGTCATAAAATTCAAAATGTTCAAATGTGTACACATTCATCAAAACAATACATATACATATGTATATTAAATATATATTTGTATATGTAAAGTACACACAATGTTTACTAAATATATTATTGAGTTGCTTGAAACACTTTGCTAATGACTGATATATGATTAAGAATAAATGATTAAATCACTTTACGTTCTATTATTTATTCGAGTTTTTCTTATTTAACAACACCAGATGTTGTTCTTGTTAATCTTCACATATTCATATTATAGTTTTAGAACACATGTCCACATCGAACTCAGGACTCTTAAATACTTTCTATTATTTAGGACACAAGTAATTGGTAAACACATTTTTTAGACAGATTACTCGGAAAATTGCAGGCCAAGTTAGACAAACGTCGTATCCATTCAACGTAACATAATCTTTTATAAATTTAAAAAAATATGTCCAATGTGTTAATTCAAACTTTTGCAAGTACTTCTAAGATGTATAATTATAATGATTTTCAAACCACCATATTGAATCCTATTCAACATCAACTATCTTCCAGTTCATTTATCAAACTGACTTCCCTGAAGTATGTTCAGTCAAGTGCACTTGATGCTCTTCGGCTACCAGATATTTACATTCAATGATAAAATTTTGTTTAAGCCTTTCTTTTTCTCATAATACTTATAATGCACAATATCTTGAAGTAATTTTTCATGAATCAACCATTGCGTTCCACCAGAAGAGTGAGAGACACCATTGCAGAATTTTGTGTAAAGTTGTAGGTCGGTTCAACTATTATACACCAGGTGGATGTTGCTTAAAGCAAAAACTTTTCAAAGTTCTACACTACACCTGTTCAATTTTATTCAACTTCTTACCTGAAACGCTTCAGATTGGTTAAAATTGACAAGATAATAGGTCGCACTAATAATTTTTCTTTAGTCTGTATTATTTCCCATCTAATCAGCTTCTGACTATCATAAGTCACCATACAGCTAATCAAATTAAAACAATACCGAAACTAATGTATAACAACAGGGCTCTGCTGAACACAGACTCCGACCATAGGACTATCGTCCTGTTCGTTTTGACCACCGGATCCTGATGTGGATGAACTATTTAAAGTGTTTGATCTTTTAGCATCCTGCAAAACGTTCGGATACTCATACCCCGCAGTTGTACTTGCAAAACCACCCATGTGCACCAAAGAATTTTGAGTCCCGCCGTACTGATTGTGATGGTGATGATGATGAGCTATATAGGAATTTGTCTGATCAGTTTGCCCGGTTAATTCAACTGGTAACGAAGCTGGAGCATAGGACATTGATTTGTTATTATAACGAGCCGTTTGCCTGTAACGTGCTGGTGAGGGATCACAATCCATTGCTATCAAATAGTGATTGTTTACCACATTACCATCCACTAAACTCGATACTGCTTGTTGGTGTTGCAAGATACTGCTGTTACTAACATTGGTGATAGAATTTGCAGATGTCTGTTGCTGGTGATGAGAGGCCAGAGCACTGATGTCACTCGAGCTGCCACGGCCAACACGAAGCATACTTGCTAAAGCTGGAATCATAATGGGAGATAAATATTTTTGTGATTTATTTAAAATATATTAATGACTGATAATTGCTCTGCACAAATATTTTACAGAATCATTATCATAATTATAATAATAAATAACATAAGTATACTGTAAAGAATGCAGGCAATTTGTATTTTTATAACTTGTGTGTTGTGTACATTTGATATAAAAATATATAAATATAAATATAGAATATTTATATAGGACATTCAAATTCAATTGTATTTTTAGTAGTTTGCTACTTTTGTTATAATACTTAAGTAAAATGTTTATATTTCAAATGAATTTAACATGAATTGTTAGTGTGTACAGTGTTCATTCCTCATGCAGAAGAATTATACAAAACACACATCAACCCACATTCATAGATAAACTTTATATTAGGGTGGTCCTTAATATGGATATTTTGAAATTTCCTTGCCCCCAGAGGCTCAAATGCTTCCAATTGATGAAACAAAATTCTCTATAAGTTTTAGCTCTTAATATTGTCTTTGAGATAGTGCGCAATTCAATCAAAGTTTTAGATATAACTTAGCAAAGAAATGAATGAGTTTTATTCAAAATTCGACGCTCTACAAAACAAATTATAAAAAACCTGTTTTGCAGAGCGTCTAATTTTCAATAAAAGATGACACGAATTGTCACCTTTAATTCATTTGTCGCTAAGTTATACCTAAAAAACATTTTTAAAATTTTCAAAAAAAATTCCATGCTGTTTCCATATGAAGCTTTGATTGAATTACGCTCTATCTAAAAGTTAATATTAGGAGCTAAAACTTTTAGAGAATTTTTTTTATCAATTTGGAAGCATTTAATCCCCTGAGAGCAATAAAATTCGAAAATGTCCATATTACGGACCACCCTAATATATACATAATATAATTTAGACAAGTTCCACAACGTAACTTGTTCACCATATGATCCAGTTACAAATATTTTATTATTTAAACACATAAATGCAACATCAATTGCCATCTATTCTAAAAAATAAATGAGTTATGAAAAATGTTGGATGATTTTATGACACATGCTTTCAGGGACAGGAATAAACTGATTTTACATATACGGAAAATTCAACATCTAAAAATAGTTTCAGAGAAAAAGCATACACACATTTTCGTATAAGAGAGCAGGCATGATCGACTTTAAGTAATAATATATTTCAATACAGAGATTATTGCATATCAACGTGTTATTAAAAATCTGAGTTGTATATTACCTATGTATCAATAAATTTATTTGATATTTTTAATTTTTGTTAGTAGTGATTAGTTGGCGGTTCTAAGTTCTAAAGGTGGGTTATTGGCATGGTTTTTCTATAACATGAATTTTGCTTTAACTTTTTAATATTTCAAATTCTCTAGTTTATTCACAAATCGGTATCCATCATTGATAGTCATCGGACGACATCTATAAGAGAGAATATTTTGCTCGATGTATCATCTCAATTGATCAATAACTAAATCGGAGATGAAATGAAATGAAAATGTGATGAATAATATAATGATTAACAAATAAGTATGGTGATTTTGCATACACTGTATATAAATATCAATATCAGAACTGATAAGTTTGAATGTATAGAAATATGAAGACTTGAATGTTTGAATTAAAGTTAATTAATTAGTTATTTTCTTCCCTAAAAATTTCTCAAAAAAGCGACTTTTGAAAGCCTCTAAAGCAAGCTCCCACCTTAAGCAGTAGTACGATTTGTTCATCCTTACCCCATATATAAATATATAATATCCTATTTCATTTACTATTTTATTACAAGTGGTAGCAAAATCATCATATTTCATCTAACCCCAAATGGTGGGTTGTTAGTTCAATATTATATTATTTTTTATCAAACTAACCATTTGCGTCCTGTACCGATGCAGCAGTAGTTACTACTGGAGGAGCAACAGTGCTAGTCGCCTCGTCCGCCGTTCTCTTGAAAAAATTGTGTTGTAATGCATAGTAAGGTGTCAGTCTAGATCTTGGATCGTAATCCAGCATTCGTGCAACCAGATCTTTGAATTTAAGATAATCAGAAACTGAGTGACCTGGTTCACCTAGTCTTCGACCTGAAAATATAAAATGATTTGAAAATATTCAATTATAATTTTGTAATAATAGTAGGTGAAAATATCGAAACCGTCAAGAATTATAATGTACTTTACAGCACAATTAGAAAACGTAAACTATACTCAAGCAACATATAATAAATGTCAATTCTAAATGCCCGCAGACTACCTTATATATAAAATTCTTCCTATAAATCCTAAACGGTTATTCAGGTTTTGATAATTCTTTTTAGAGTTTGTCAAAGGAAATTTTCAATATTCAATGAACAATAAAACTATAGTTAGATTGTATAAATAAATGGAAAAAAATTCAAAAAAACACTTATCATTGTTTGACATCTGCTAGAAATGTCAATTCATTTGAAATTTGAATTTAGCTGATATTATGAGCCTAGATAATATTAGAATATAATTAGAATATACAAGAAAAATGTAATGTCTGCATTATTATTGCCGAAAAGCAGCTTAGATGTGCCAAAAATTAAAATAATACAAGATACAGTGAACAGTACATCTTTGGTAGATGAAATTATATAATTCAGTTTAATAAATAACGCTATGAGTTCAAAACTGCATATACAAATTTTAGACTTATGGATGTTGCACTTTGGTTTACTTTACTAAATTATTTAAATACAAAAAAATATTTCTACTTATTGAAAAAATGATTTTGAACTTTGTTTCATGTATCAAAAATTCATTTCTGATTATCTAAGTTGATCTTAGATCGAAGAGTGCACATATGATCTAGATTTTACAAATTAATTCATGTAAGATTTGAACATGAACAATAATGTTTATTAAAGTATTAGTAAAGAAAATGAACTTTAGGAATTATAATTGTCAAAAAGCAACTAATAAATGGCACGAGATTATGAAAATTATAGACTAAATTAATCAAGCAATTATGTTGTGTTGAAAAATCAAGTGTGATATTGTTCTTTTATTGCTGATACTGTATTATTTTTTTCTGAATTTCTTATACTGCTTAAGGCAAGACCATAAAGAACACAAAGGCAGGACATCAAAAAGGATATTAAAAAGTATCAGACTTTTGATTGTAGATATGGGTATAGCACAACATCTGTCGGGTCATATCTAATATACATATATTTTCTCTACTACGTTAAACTGAACCAAAAAATCAATTTTCTCAACCAACCTGCAGGGCCTCCTGTATCAACACCTAAAATGTCATGTAATCTTCTTGTGCCAGGCGGCCTATACTTTTTAGCATCTTTTCCAGAACCAGTCGAAGGGGGCCTTTTGAGTACATATCCGCCATCGGGTCCTGGTGCTCTGTCGAAATATTTGCGTGCCTTAAGAGCCCTATCTAGCACATGTCGAGGAGGAATTCCAAGGACTTCCACTATCCTGTTCACCTGGTCGACTTCGTTGGCGCCGGAAAACAAGGGCTCGCCTGGGAAAAAATTATTGTAATTGAGTCTTAGATATCAGAAGAATGATTTACTGAATTTTCAAAATTATTTGGGAATACTGATCTTGAAAATTCTATGCTGTTAATTCATGGTATTATAATAATTTCCAACATACCTGTATGCATTTCTACTAATATACATCCCAAAGACCACATATCTATCGCTAGGTCATAAGGAATTCCTAATAAGACTTCTGGTGAACGGTAAAACCGAGACTGGATATATTGGTATATCTGCAAACAATTCAATTGAAGATTTAGATTATAGTTTAATCTTATTAAGAAATTTAAGATAAAAAGATCTCACCCTTTGTCCAAGTTGACATGAGCTTCCAAAATCAACGATTTTGATTGCAGATCGTTTCGCATTGCACAATAATATATTTTCAGGTTTAAGATCACAGTGAATAATATTTAGCTCTGAAATAAATTTTACAATTATTTAAATATTAAAAACCAATAAATGTTGTCTAGACCAAAAAATCTCGATTCTCATTACAAATCAGTTCTTACCAGGTGTGCTAAGAAAAAGCAGTGCCGTACAGAGTTGCTGGGCAAATTTCCTGGTCAAGTTTAACGACACTCCACGGAAATTCGTGTTCCTGAGTAGATCATACAAATTGTATGATAGTAGCTCAAACACCAGGCACAGATGGTTACGCCACATGAAATGGCGTTTTAGTTTAACTAAAACAGACAAAAAATCGTTATAAAATTCTATATGTATTTTATTAAATTTGTTGAGTGTTTTCAATCATACCTATATAATACTTGTTATCAGCATCTGCTCTATTCATCATTTCTAAAAGTTTAACTTCTATCTGAGCTTGATTCAGGAAAGGTTTCTTGTTTTTGATTATTTTTATCGCTACATGGCATGATTCTTCATGGTCATAAGCTTTAACCACTTGTCCAAACGATCCCTTTCCTAAAAAGAAATAGTTAAATGATCAATTAAAGTTTTCATATAATTTTCAAAACCATATCAGCAATAAAATAGATTACAGATTAGAAAAAAGTGAAAGTCTCAACAAGTTGTATATAAATAAATTATTCAAAATTAACTGGATACGCTACAATGATTTCTATTATTTCCTACAATAAATACTCTCTTTTAATGGAGAATTGGACAAACGGAAAAATATGGAATTTAAATTTTAAACAAAAATAAATAAGACTTTTAGATCATAATAAACTCTTATGGAAGAAATATTAAAGATTTGTAATCATTATGAATATGCTACCCTTTTAGTTTCATTCATTATTAATTATGGTAATATAAAATAAATGGTTAAAATAGTATAAATAGTATTAATTTTTTAGTAAAAATTCGTCACTTCAAAGACAAAACAATCCAATATTTGAAATTAAATGAATTATATGAATATCTACAAGAAAAAATAACATTGATTTAGAATTGCTACAAACTGTTTTGCTGTTAAAAGTCGTAATAAAAATAATTAAGATATATTTTTTTTTAATTCGTCAATACATTTGTATAGTAGTCAAAGACATTATAATTGCAAAAATAAATGTTACCTTCAATCTCATTCATTATTAATTATGTTACTATATTACGATTCATATGGGTTCTTTTACAAACCTATGGTTTGCTATTTAACCAGTTAAATGTGATTGACGAGCATACTCGTCATGAAGAAGTAGCAGAATTTTATGTAATGACGAGTATAATCGTCGTGCGCATAAATCAATGACAATTGACTTTTTAATTGAAATGTAATATTAATATTTCAAGATGTTTGAAAACTAAAACTTAAATAAGATGAACTTCATGAACACTGTATGACAAAAATGTCACTTCTGTTTTTTTCCCTTTTTTCATTAGTCAATTCGGCTATGATTATTGCAATTTAACAAAAGTTTTATCTGCTGTTTTTGTCTGGCTCGACCTCTAAGATATTGTGTGAATAATGCAGATAGTTTTTTTTACATCTGTGATGAATATGTTTCGAGAAATACCGAAAACCTATATCAAACTGCGCAAAGACAGCGTACTTCAATCACTTCAAATTGCAATTGCGCAATCAAAATAATACATGGATACTTCATACCATGTGCCTAAATTGCTTAGTGTATTTACTTAAATGTCCAAAAAGTAAAAATGCTATAATTTTAAAACACCCGTCATTTAGGAAGAACCTCACATCAGCACGACGGCTATTTCTTCTGCATGATAAATGTCAATGGAAAAAAATCAGGAAAACCCCATGATAATAATAATGATCAATCCAGAATATCTTTTGCCTACCTTTGTGTAAACGATTAAGGGACCAACGTTAAAATAGAAGACCGAAAAAGTCAAAAACTGATATTTTCTATAATCCCCGAATTAGGCAACTCAAAAAAACCACGGTTCGCATATTATATTAATAAAATCGAGAAGAAAACCAGGGCGAAAGAATCCACCAAGACATCAGGACTTTGTAGCAACGATCATCAAGAAAGTTGGTACGTCCTCATGATGGCAAAGAATAAAATAACTTGTGTGCTATTTTTCATTGTAATTTGAAGTAAAAGTATAAAGGTATATCTTGAAATCTATTGTGACAAATATTTGATCTAGTTTGGAGGCGACCATTAATCACGCGATCGATTTTTAGGGATTTTTAAACCCCCCTCCCCTTTGGTGATTCGTCGTAATATTTAGAATTACCCTCCCCCCTCACAAAATATCACGTGTATTTTTAGTTATGTGAAATTTTCGAATTTATGAAAAACCGTCAAATTTT